GCTAAGCCAACAACACCGATGCCAATTAAAACTGATGTGGGCGAACAATCTGTAAAACCAATTGATTTAGCAACAACTAGTGATCCTATAGTAGAAGAAAAAATAAGTGCAACGACACAGTCAGTTACACCAATGCAACAACCCGACGTAGTTCAGACGACAACCGGTGAATCTGTAGCTGTGATGAAAACAGATAAAGAGACATCAGAATCGACATCATCAGATAGTATTGCTCATACCACCATTTCTTTAAGGAAAGTAACCGTGTCTCAAGAGTTAGTTGATGAATTGGGCTCCGGTGTTGACAAAACTATTATATCACCTACAAATGAAACAAAATTTAAATCTGATAAGCCTATACAAGTAATTGATGTTTTTACAACCACTGCAAGACCTGTTGAAGTAGCATCAACTACTGCTAAGGCCATCACAGTACAACAAAACACTGATGCTGTAGAAAAATTATTAACATCTTTAAAACCAGAATCTTCAGCTTTTAGCAATGTTTCCACTATACCGAAAGTCACTGATATTGTATCAGAAGAACAAGATATTGTATTTGGTTCTGGAGTTGAAGGAAAGTTAACATCAGAAAAAGTACCAGGTTTTATGAGCACACTTAAACCAACACCAATTCCAAGCAAAGTGTACAAACCCACACCAGAAGTAGATGTTATTGATGGATTTACACAGAAGCATCTAACAGATGTCAAATCAATTAAAGACGACAAAACACAGGCTCCGAAAAACAGTGATAAAATTGATAAAGAACTCACCACAATAAAACCAGATACAACAGTAGAAGTACATCTTACATCGAAAACAGAGGCTGAAAAATTGACACCAATTGTTGAAGTTATTGAAGCTAAGCCAACAACACCGATGCCAATTAAAACTGATGTGGACGAACAATCTGTTTCTCCATCTGTAAAACCAATTGATTTAGCAACAACTAGTGAACCTATAGTAGAAGGAGAAAAATTGAGTGCAACGACACAGTCAGTTAAACCAATGCAACAACCTGACGTAGTTCAGACAACAACCGGTGAATCTGTAGCTGTGATGAAAACAGATAAGGAGACATTAGAATCGACATCATCAGATAGTATTGCTCATACTACCTTTTCTCTAAGCAAAGTAACCATGTCTCAAGAGTTAATTGATGAATTGGGCTCCGGTGTTGACAAAACTATTATATCACCTACAAATGAAACAAAATTTAAATCTGACAAGCCTATGCAAGTAATTGATGTTTTTACAACCACTGCAAGAACTGTTGAAGTAGCATCAACTACTGCTAAGGCCATCACTGTACAACAAAACACTGATGCTGTAGAAAAATTATTAACATCTTTAAAACCAGAATCTTCAGCTTTTTTCGATGTTTCCACTATGCCGAAAGTTACTGATATTGTATCAGAAGAACAAGATATTGTATTTGGTTCTGGAGTTGAAGGAAAGGTAACATCAGAAAAAGTACCAGGTTTTATGAGCACATTTAAACCAACACCAATTCCAAGCAAAGTGTACAAGCCCACACCAGAAGTAGATGTTATTGATGGATTTACACAGAAGCATCTAACAGATGCCAAATCAATTAAAGACGACAAAACACAGGTTCCGCAAAACATTGATAAAATGGATAAAGAACTCACCACAATAAAACCAGATACAACAGTAGAAGTACATCTAACATCCAAAAAAGAAGCTGAAAAATCGACACCAATTGTTGAAATCATTGAAGCTAAGCTAACTACACTTATTCCTAGTAAAGGGCACATACCCACATCAGAAGCAGATGTTATCGATGGATTTACAATGAAACATGTTACAGATGCCAAATCAATGAAAGATGCCAAAATGCAGGCTCCAGAAAACATTGATAAAGTGCGTAAAGAAGTTACCACAATAAAACCAATCACAAAAGTAGAAGTACAACAGACAACCTTAACAGCGGCAGAAAAATCAACACCGATTGTTGAAGTTATTGAATCCAAGCATGCAACAGGAATTTCAAATTTTACTGGTAAAGAAAATTCAACTATCTATACATTAAGACCAACTGAATTGCATACTGTGGTCAATGTCGTAGGAGAAAATGTATTTACAGTGGCACCAATACAACAACCAGATGAACATACCATGTTGAAAGAACTTGTTGATGAATTAGGCTCTGGAGTGGATATTGAAAGTGCTACACCAGTCTCACATGTTCTGAAGTTAACAAGTACAATTGTGACTAGCATAAGAAATATAGAAGATAACAAACATATGTTATCTAAAGATAATTTTAATTTAACAGAAGATATCAGATTTCAAACTGAACACCCACATGAAGAAAATTCATCAGATACTGGCAAAGGGAGGAGCACACCAACTTTGAAAGAAATACTGATGAAACAGTTTACAACTCTACCAACTGATAAACATGATGCATTATCTGGTATACCAACATCTGAAATTCTAAGGCCGACAGAGACTGCTTTGGAGTCAAAAGTATCAAAATTGGAATCCTTAACAACTGCTCTTAGAAATCTGAATTCTCATTTGATTACAGAAGAACCAGTTTCAATTGAAGGTAAGGCCTTTTGTATTAAATAAACTAGTTTAAATATAAATTAATAATAATTTAATATAATTAAAAGTGTTAAATAATTATCATTTAAGTATTTCTCTTTAAAATGAGCTCTCTTAAAATTATTCTCCTAAAAATACACTTTTGTTAGTAGTTTCAAAATCCTAACCCATGTTTGAGATTCTTTGTGTTTTTGTTAATTATATAAAATTTGGTATACACTATAAAGTGAGTATACATGTGCTAATAATAATAATAATAATAATACAGTAATAATGATAATAATGTAAGTCTTATATAGCATATAATACAAGAAAATTGCCTCTGTGTGCTTTACATGAAATCAGTGGCGGCGCTATGGGGGGGGGGCCCTAGCAAGGCTATAGTCCCCCCTGTCGGGGAGAAAAACCACAATTCGTCGGGGAGAAAAAAAATTTTGAAAATTTTGTGTATTTTGTACATATAAATAGACTCTAAAATCGATTAAATAAGCCTTTGAAACCCCTAAATTGTCACATTTTCGGAGGGCTACGTCCCCTGGACCACTTTCGAAAGGCCATGCCCAATTTTTTCTCTTTGGTAACATCAGCCTCCACACCCTCGTTTATACATGTGTTTATAAACAATATGGCTTGTTTCTTGACAGGATGTTTTGAGGAATGTTCTATGCTCTATGAACCTGTGTGTGGTACCGATAAACACACATATCCTAACAGATGTACACTGGAAGGAATGGCCTGTCAGTTTCCTGGCTATCATCTAACTATAGACCATCTTGGGCCTTGTGTAGAAGTGGCACTTAAGACACATGCCAGAGATATCAACTTGGGCTCTGGTATGGGTTCATTGACTGTTGAGATTAGAGGTAATTAAAATGCTTATTTATACTTAATATTGTGTTGTCAGCTTCTTTTTCTTCATGGTTAGTCAACTCCTTTTTCTTGGTGATTCGTAGACAGAAACATCTGTAGCACCCTCTATGTATTTCTTTCAAAATTGAAAGTGAAATAACAAGCTGGAAATGTGTTCAGCATATTTATATTATATAAAATTGCAGCCATTAAAACTGTTCAAGTTATTTTTATTACCAAAAATAGACATTATAAGATAATATGGTACAGGTAAACAACAAAAAATATGCCTTATATAATATGAAATGTAAAACCATATTACTTTTTGTATTATTTCCCTGGGCTTATAGGCTTAGAATGTCCATCAGTAATACTATAAATCTCTGCCAATAAAGTAATATTGTAAAATATGTTGCTTGTTTTTATTATATTGTAAAATATGTTGCTTGTTTGTAAGGGTTCGTCTTTTGTAATGTACTTAATAATTTATATCATTGTCTATAATGTTTAGCTGAATACAAAATTAATTAATGAAATATCTACTAACTTTTAAACAACATTCTGTGTTATAGATACAGCTGATTGTGAGCAGACCTGTCATGCTCACCAGCCTGTTTGTGGAAATGACCGCTCAACTTACCTTTCTGAATGTGCATTGAAGAAGTATGCATGCACTGCTAATATAAGTGGGCTTAAGAAGGCATATGACGGTGAATGCATAGAAGAAATAAGTAAAATATGTAAGTGAACTCCGCTGTTGAATTGTTTGAAGGAAATGAAATTGAACTACAGTATGGATTTTTTAACCAGTATTAGGTTAATCTATTTTGATTCTGGAGAATCAGATACTTGTGTGACAACTGTGCTGAATGCTCTAGCTAAGTATTTAGCTTTGAAAACCAGAGTACTTGGTTCAATGTATTTTAAGTGCCATCCAATCCCTAAGCCTCATAATGTAGATGTAAAAAGGGATTGCTGCTGAGAAAGGTTGCTATTGGCATAGCCTTTGCCTTTGTGCCTAAAACAAAAAAAAGATATTAACAACGATAATAATAAACTTTACTTAAATCTGTTTTGTATTTCAAGTAAATTGTATAAATACACTAAAGTTAGAAGGCCCATATTATTGTTTTTGTTTTTTCAGTTGAAGGTAGTGGCAGGTGTGACCAAGTTATATGTCCCGGTAACTATGATCCTGTTTGTTCAAATAATGGATTTACTTTCGCTAATGACTGTGATCTGTTGTTTGCAAAACTTTGTTTAGGAATGGAAGACATCCAGAAAAGCTACCATGGGAGCTGCTGATTTAAAAGTTTAATTTTCCATTTAATGAATTGTGTACCAGCAATGATCAACAGTCAGATATGCTTACCATCAAGATCAGCACACAGAGCGTTGAAATCATACATGCGTAATCAATTCTGAAAATAATTATAAACAATTATTCAAACATTTAGTGGATATAAAGCGTGCATTTAAATGCTTGACTTTCATATTCAGCTTTGTCTGTGTCTTCAACTGTAAAATGAAGACTGTCAGGCAGTGCACACTCTATTACAATTAAAATTGAAGCTGTTTTGCTGAAGTGAAATTAATTGAACATGGATATTAATATTTAAATTTGAGTTTTGCTAATAAAATAATGTTACCTTTGAAAGTCAGTTTGCTGATGAAGCTGTTGAAAGACAGCGAAAGCTATCTCAAGTAAATGACACTGACTTTGAAAAGAAACTGTAATTATTATGAAAAAAGAAACATTTCAATGGAATATGATATTAAATTATAATTATTTTCTGTTAATTTTCCACATTGTTCTGTGGACAATAACAACTTTATAACTTATAATAAGAGTGACATATAACAAATTAAAATGAACAGTAATCAGTTGTAATACTTAGTGTCACCAAAGAATGCAAGAAAGTATGAGTATAAAAACATATTTTTTGCAATTTTATATTAAATTATTTTAATTATGATAAATATAGATAAAAACAATACTCCGCAGTATTTTTGTGCTGCACACATGACATTCAAGTATATATTTTGATAATGTATTTTTAGGTTATTTATAATGTGTGTATATTTTTATTGCAATTGTAGTTGAGAGGGTGCACTCTGAAATATATAGTTAAGTTGCACCAACATTTTACAATGCATTATGGGAATAATGTGTATATTTATCCATGTCATTTTGTAATACTAATATATTCAGTATTAATAGATTAATTATATTTCCCCAGTGTATTACATTATGCTTGTAGATCTGGCCCATAGTGATGTTTTGTCCAGACGACCAAAATTGTAATATTAAAACAGTATTTGTTGGTGATGGTTTTCTTTAGTGGATTATGATATTGATATTGTGCTAATTATTATTTAACATAACTAATTTAATTTTTCATTAAACTAACATTTTATTGTATGCAAGACGTTTATAGTCACACCCTGTGATCAATGGACCATTCCACTAAGCCCCGCCCCTTGGATATTGTTGCTAAGGTCCCGCAAAACAAAAAGCGTAAAAATGTACGTAAAAATGTTCGTTTGTGGATGTAAACACGTGTGCTTGTGTGACCCGTGTATTCATAGTGCTGTTCTGAATAGTCAGTAAAGTTGTCTGTGTCCCACAAACGGTACTGCAAAATAATAATACCAAAGGGTACTTGTCTTTCATGGTATGCTACTTAATATTTTGTGGACAATATGCAAATTACTATGCAAATACTTGTATTCACATTATGCAAGTGTTGTCACAGCTTCCAGTATTGCAAATAGTATTAGATTGGTTGAACTATATTTTTTTATTGTTTTTTTTTTTTTGCCTCTGAATGTCTATATGCAATGCGTTTGTCTTTACTCAACCGATATGAGATTGTATCGGATGGTAGTAGGGTTGGTAGGTGGGATTATTCCAGTTAGCATGTAAAACACGGGATTAGTGAACGTTCCCAGTGTATTGCAAAAAGTGCAAGTCGTGTATAATTAAGCGTATGTTATTGCATCATTATGGTATAAGCCAAGATTTGTATGATGTAATCATGTACTTTATGTTTTGTGTTCACTTAAATGTTATGTAATTTAAATCTAATAAAATGGGTGAATTTTATTAGTGGTATTGTTTTGTCTTTGTTGTTCACACAGAATGATGGAGATGATGATAATGATAACCATCATGTGAAATAGGCAAAGGTCAAAAAATTTATTCATGATGGAGGAACAAGGGGGCGTAACGCCCGTGAACATTCGGGGGGGGGGGGTGTGGAGCTGCTGCTACTTTACTACGGAGAACGCCTGTGTGCTGTCTGGTTCCAATTTTCAGTACAAATGGGCTCCCAGAGAGGCCACCGTGGGCGCTCCCTTACTACTACCACCCAAAAGATTACTACATGCTAATAATCACACAGATTTTTTTAACGCCGTAAAGTTACATACGAGATCTCAATTGTGTTTAGAAAAATGTAAACTCTTCTTTTCTGTTTTTTTTGTACCTTGTCTTTTTTTCTGTGTCCAGGGCCATATCCAGGATTACCAATTATGGGTTGTGGGGTGTGCAGAGGTGGACCAACTTGACTTAGTGGGTAGAGCCGGTTGTATTGTCAGTACCCAGATTACTCGCTTAACGATCTTCACAGAAAATAAATTTTACAGTTATGTTTTTCTATTTGAATGTTACTATGCATTTTAATAGTGATAAGTAAGTAAATGAGTAGTGTGTGGATGTAAAGATGTACGAAAAGACTAAGTTTACAATTTGTAAACATTAAAAGTTAATTCCGTAGTTAAATATTAGAATAATCGCACAAAAAAGTCAGTAATGCAGTCCTTTATTCGTTTTATTCTTTTGGGAGAGGAAATTTTTCCCTACAAACAAACATTCCCTTCGCCGAATTCGTGGGCTAAATTACTCCACTCAACTTAAATAC